GAACAAGAATTTAAAAACAATGTCAAGTAGACTATGAGAGTTTAACGAAGTGACTTATACTCGACCATTCGAGGGCTGGAGCGCAACACTGGAAGAAGACAGAAAAATAATAATTAGAAACATTAAAAACAAAAGATAAACAACAAAAAAGAAAAAAATATTGAAAAGACAAAAAAAAAAAAATCAATGAAAAAAAAAAGTTCTGGCAGTACATAAAACAATTCAAAGACAAAAAAATGTGAGTAAACGAAAAAGAAACAGTTCTGGCAGTGCATATCTTGATTATTTTAACCGTAGAACTTCTAAAAAAAGAAACGAAAAACAAAACCTTGATTATTTCACTTCAGATTAAATATGTAGCATGATAAGTCGGATTTAACGGTTTAAAATCAAATCAAAATGAATTTTTTACATTTTTGTGAGTAAAAAAAAAAAAAAAAAGTATGGTAAAATGTGAATAGGCCTTTAGGATTTTTGTTGAAATCACCCCCTGACAAATAAAAGTTACAAGCGTGCTGAAAACTAGTGCAAAGTGACGTTTAGTATGGAAATGTTATTTTAAACTATAGTGGGACATCATTGACATAGCCACGATAGCTGAACGGTGAAGGGGTCGGACTGGCCGACTCGTGATCCGGGAAACGCGGGTTTGAATCCCGCCGCTCGACTATTGTGGTGAGCCCACTCGTGATACAAGCATATTTAGCTTAGCACGAGGGGCTAAAGGGGGCTATTCTTAAATATAAAAAAAATTGAAAGGTCCCAGATATGACATTGAAAGGAGGGCGCTACTATCAACACTGGGTTATTAGTGCAAATTTTCGCCACTTGACGTTTCAGAATTGATTGACTATTGAAGCCCGGTCTGTGGGCACGTAGAATTTGGTCCAATGACCCCGAGCTACCCATCCTTATCGCTCGCGCTCTGTCGCGCTCGCACACTCACTGCGGGCGCGCGTCGCACAGTCGCGACAGCAATATAATTACGCGCGAACGATAAGGATGGGTAGCTTGGGGTCATTGGACAAAATTATCCGTGCTCGCAGACCAGACTATAGTATTCAGCGTGTAACTTTTATTTTATTAAGGTTAGTGTTTTGCAAGGCAATCCAATTTATTTTTCTTTATCTACGCTCGACTGTCGCACGTTTGAGCGCGGTCACAACGCAATTAATTACATAATTTGCATTAAAGACTAGCTTTTTATAAAATTAGACGATTCTCAATATCTTGGGCACATTCTCTATGAGTTGTATCTGCATTCAAAAATAACTCTTTTGTACTTGAAATTGAATCGAAATTTTACTGTCATACAATCTAATCGTTTTGTACAGTGAACGTCAAATAGTTCCTGACACCCAAAGCAGCCAAAAAGTTCGCAACACGCCTTTATTACAATGAGGGTTTTCGCGAATGAAAAATCCGCCAGATGGTAATACGTAGACGCGAGGTCCAAATGCTGCATGATTGGTTATTTTTGACATGACATTGACAGATATGCCAAAATCCACCAATCACGCAGCAGTCAGACCCCACATCCACGTCCCGCCATCTAGCGGATCTTTCATTCGCGAAAACCCTCATTGATATAAGGTTGTGTTGTCAACTTTTTGGCCACTTTGGGTTACACGAACTATTTGACGCTGATTTTAAATAAGTATTGATCCATATTACAGGCATGAATCTACATAAAATAATGGCATCACTTGCACTCCTTATGGATTAGAAAGAGAGAACAATACATGGATTGTATCAGACCATATTGAGTTTGGAGTTCCTTCTGTAATTCACCTCAACTTGTGTGTGGCAAATCATAGAAATTGAGTCTTATTGGATTGCAATAAGTGCTACTTCGCAGCAAGAATATTATGTCTGTGCTGATAACTGAATAAAGAAAAACCGCACTTAAATACATACATAGAGGTCATGTTTAGAGAATGCGCCCAAAAGCTGGAATCATGTGTTCTCTTTAAATTATTTTAATTTGTATAACAATATCCCATCTGAATGATGGTTTTATTTTTGGGGGCACATTGTGGTATTTAAAACTCTGTAATGTAACACTTGAAGTAACAGTCTTTGTGAGCTTGTCACCCGTTGTGCCACAGAGGTGACAATTAGGAAAAAAAGGTTAATATTTGTCCCTAATGGCATGAATAGAAAGTGAACAGTTGGGAAAAATTGTCACATTTGTCACTCGAGTGACTGGAAAGCGACTAAAGCCCGTATTCAAAAACATTACTATGAGGTCTCACAATGTGCGTGGACGCATAGGGTGACCACACGAACCAATCACGGAACTCTATTCAACGCTGTGCGATCGATTTGCTGCTTCACTTAAGCAAGCATCGTTTGTTAATATGGGCGTAAGTTGGTTCGTGTGTCACCCTGTGCGTCCACGCGCACTTTGAGACCTCATAGTAATGTTTGTGAATACTGGCGTAAGATAACTTAGAATAATGAGCCACATTTTTTTAAATTAGAACAATAAACAGAAAGTTTTCTAACTTAGAACCTTAAACCTCAATTATTCTAAGTTATCACAACCGTTGAAAAATCGGGTCTCAAAAATATAACTTAAAAAATTCCCAATGTCAATGTGCCCCCAAAATATTTTTAAATCTACCAATAATTTATCCTTAACATCGTGAACACATTTACTGTGAATTCCTACACTTTACTTCCGTAATTTGTACATTTTTTCAATAACCGCCATCTTGGATTTTTATTTTAAACAAATTTCAAAGCAAAGTGATGATTGTTAGGATAAATTTCTCATATTTTTAATATTTTTATAATATTTCTTGGATTTAATTTGTTTTTAAATAGTAATTCAATAAGATTTTTTAATTTAATTTGGAGTATTCACCGAAATATGACTAGGATCTCAAGAAAACCATAAAAAATGTACTAATCAAAATACTAATCAAATATACACACCAACACATTTATAACGAGAAACGATTATTTAAACGCATTTTCCAAATTAATAAATCTATTTATTAAACATGATTTTTAAATAAAATAATATATTTTCTATTATATTAGTTGTTTGTTTGTTTCATAAATAATATAATATCACCTCTATTGTAAAAGCCACAATTGGTTTGAATTAACTATTATACCTATTACATATTTTATTTTTTGTGAATGTATTAACATATTTATTTCAACAAAACGAAATCGATCTAGCAAAGGTACATAATATACAGGCATATTTCATAATAAATAGTTGTCTGCGCTATGTATGTAGTAAATAAATTATTATTTGTTTTGATATATTAAAAGAAGTATGGATATTATTTTTAAAATATGTAAAAAAAGCATTTTATTTTATTTCAAATCAATAAACTGCATTTTTAAATTACATTTCGTAAAGCCGAAATGTGTTTTAACCACAATGAAATAATATTATTTTCATGTATTTGATTTGATGAAATATTTTCTTTGTATTGTCGAAGTGAAAGGTTAGTTATTATTTTGATTTCAAACTTTTGAAGTATGTATTTATTTATTTGTTATGTATTTTATTTATCTAGCATCCGGCCACTGACATAAAATTAATATTTGGAGCCTATTATTGACGCTCATAAAATATGCGCGGACGCGAATGTATAGTCACCGGACAGTGTCCGAAACTTGAGATTGTCATTAGTGTCCGAAACACCAAGACTGGAAAAGAGTGACCGTAAATTATGGTTATTGGCTAAACTTTGGCTGATGTCTGTAGATTTTCAGAATTTTTTAAAATGAATCACGAAAAACATTTTTTTATTATAAATTCAGTGGGAATAACCGAATTTAAAATTAAGTACACTGACACATTGAACTGTTTGATAACTACGCAATGTTATTTGACACAGCAGTGTCCGACGTCCGGACAGCGTCCGAATTTCACTATTCACTAACTGCTCGTTTGAACGTCCAGCATCCGGATGACATTTTAAGCTAAGGTTTTTAAGCGATCAAGTGTCCGTAAACCGCTGTCACCGCTGCCCGCTGGAAACGTCTAGCGTCCGAAACTGCGAACGGTACAGTAGTGTCAGGGTGTTATTATCAAGTGTCCGTAATCCAGAGGGTTTCCGAGCATCACTGTCCGTTCTAATGACCAGCATCCGAACAGTACAGTAGTGTCCCACTGTTGCAATCAAGTGTCCGGATCCGGACACTTCCCGGACAGTGTCCGAATCTGTCCGTTCAAGCAGGCAGTTTTATTAACGCGTCCGGCCAGCGTCCGAAGTGTCCGGGCTAGCGTCCGAAGCACGGACACAGCCGGCCCCCCGCCCCAAGCGCGCGCGCCAGTACCGTTCGCTACGCGCTGTTCCGCGCCAGCTCGTAGAATAGCACGTACGCCTCGGAAGACACCACGTTGCGCTGGTTGATCGGTGTTACTCTGGAAAGATACAAGTAAGAAATAAATAAATTATCATATACATAGCAGGAAGGCGCTGGATGCAGGCAACTACCACAAAATATAACAGAAGGTAAACTCCATACTAAGCGCGCTCGAGCCACGCACACATAGACACCGCTCACGTACGCGTTATCAAGACTGTCTTGGACGAATGCGAGGCGCGACTGCGTTCGCTTGAGTGACGCTGCTCACGCGTTTGTGAAATAATTTTTATTGTGCGAAAATGAGTGAACAACAAAAAAGGGGTATTATAACATTTGTTAAGTAGATGGTTGCTTACACTCAACATTAAAAACTAAATTTTCGTTTTTTAAACTACCAATTGATTCCGGGAGGTAAGTAAGGTATTTATTTGTATTTCAATAGTTCGTTTAACGTTGACAAATTAAAAGCCAACTCAATTATTAGGAATATCCAAGTGTTTTAAAGAGGTTTTAGGAATTATTGGATAATAGTGTCAACCACCCAACTACATACTACGTCATAGTACTTCCTTCTCGTGTATTTGTTTGCAAACTATTACTATAATAATAACGTACTAAACATAACTACACAATTATACGTGGATANGCCTATTCGCTCTCGCCTTGAGAAGGCTGTACAAGAATTTAAAAACAATGTCAAGTAGACTATGAGAGTTTAACGAAGTGACTTAGACTCGACCATTCGAGGGCTGGAGCGCAACACTGGAAGAAGACAGAAAAATAATAATTAGAAACATTAAAAACAAAAGATAAAACACAAAAAAGAAAAAAATAGTGGAAAGACAAAAAAAAAAATAATCAATGAAAATACAAGTTCTGGCAGTACATAAAACAATTGACAAGACAAAAAAATGTGAGTAAACGAAAAAGAAACAGTTCTGTACCTCTAGTACGAAAAACTTTCGAGTTCGTTTCGTTGCGTCACACACACACACAGACACATCACAGCGCCCCCTATATTATAGCCGCCCTAGGGGGCGCTGTTTAATTTTTCATACAAAATTTTAGAGGTACTGGCAGTGCATATCTTGATTATTTTAACCGTAGAACTTCTAAAAAAAGAAACGAAAAACAAAACCTTGATTTATTTCACTTCAGATTAAATAGCATGATAAGTCGGATTTTACGGTTATCATTTTAAAATCAAATTATCAAAATGATTTTTTTTACATTTTTGACAGTAAAAATAAAATAAAAAGTATGGTAAAATGTGAATAGGCCTTTAGGATTTTTGTTGAAATCACCCCCTGACAAATAAAAGTTACAAGCGTGCTGAAAACTAGTTCAGTGACGTTTAGTATGGAAATGACATTTTAAACAACATTGACATGGCCACGATAGCCGAACGGTGAATGGGTCGGACTGGCCGACTCGTGATCGGAGGAAAGCGGGTTCGGTCCCCGCCTAGGGTTGCAAGTGTCAGGACATGTTTGACTTTTTACGGTCTTGTCCGGCCTGTCCGGCTTTTGTTAGGCTTTTTATTTGGCTGCCGCGCCAGGCGAAAGTCGAGCCACAGAATAATATGAAGCGCACGCATCAGGACGTTGGGCAACCGATGATGATAGGTAGTGAAGTAGGGTAAAATGTCCGGTCAAATGAAGCACAAAGTCCGGCTTTTGTGTTTTTGGACCTGGCAACCCTATCCCACCGCCGCTCGACTATTGTGGTGAGCTCACTCGTGACACAAGCATATTTAGCTTAGTACGTACGAGAGGCTAACGGGGGCTATTCATAAATAAAAAAAAATTGAGTATCCCAGATATGACATTGAAAGAAGGGCGCTACTACCAACACTGGGTTATTAGTGCAAATTTTTGCCACTTGACGTTTCAGAATAGCTTGACTATTAAAGCCCGGTCTGTGAGCACGTAGAATTTTGTCCAATGACCCCAAGCTACCCATCCTTATCGCTCGTGCGCTGTCGCGCTCGCACACTCACTGCGGGCGCCAGTCGCACAGTCGCGACAGCAATGTAATTACGCGCGAGCGATAAGGATGCGTAGCTTGGGGTCATTGGAAAAAATTCTACGTGCTCACGGACCAGACTATAGTATTCAGCGTGTAACTTTTATTTTATTAAGGTTATTGTTTCGCAAGGCAATCTAATTTATATTTCTTTATCTACGCTCGACTGTCGCAGTTTTGAGCGCAGTCACAACGCAGTTAATTACATAATTTGCATTAAAGACTAGCTTTTTATAAAATTAGACGATTCTCATATATCTTGGGCACATTCTCTATGAGTTGTATCTGCATTCAAAAATAAATCTTTTGGACTTGAAATTGATTCGAAATTTTACTGTCATACAATCTTATCGTTTTGTACAGTGAACGTCAAATAGTTCCTGACACCCAAAGTAGCCAAAAAGTTCGCAACACGCCTTTGTTACAATGAGGGCTATCGTTTTAGCGCTCACTAGTTAGCGCCACTGTAGAGTAAGGTCCTGTCACTTGCTAGTAGCGAAGACAGTGGCGCCAACTGGTGAGCGCTAAAGTGGTAGGAGGACTATCGCATTTGCACTCATCAAGATGGCGCCACTGTAGAGTAAGGTCCTGTCAATCGCCAGGGGTGCCAACTGTTAAGTATAAAAACGATAGCCCTCATTGGAATAAGGTTTTGTTGTCAATTTTTTGGCCACTTTGGGTTACACGAACTATTTGACGCTGATTTTAAATAAGTATTGATTAATATTACAGTGGCATGAATCTACATAAAATAATGGCATCACTTGCACTCCTTATGGATTAGAAAGAGAGAACAATACATGGATTCTATCAGACCATATTGAGTTTGGAGTTCCTTCTGTAATTGACCTCAACTTGGGTGTGGCAAATCATATAAATTGAGTCTTATTGGATTGCAATAAGTGCTACTTTGCAGAATATTGTCTGTGCTGATAGCAGAATAAGAATAATCGCACTTAAAAACATACAAATAGAGGTCATGTGTAGAGAATGCGCCCAAGAGCTGGAATCATGTGTTCTCTTTAAATTATTTTAATTTGTATAACAATATCCCATCTGAATGATGGTTTTATTTTTGGGGGCACATTGTGGTATTTAAAACTCTGTAATGTAACACTTGAAGTAACAGTCTTTGTGAGCTTGTCACCCCTTGTGCCACAGAGGTGACAATTAGGAAAAAAAGGTTAATATTTGTCCCTAATGGCATGAATAGAAAGTGAACAGTTGGGAAAAATTGTCACATTTGTCACTCGAGTGACTGGAAAGCGACTAACGCCCGTACTCACAAACATTACTATGAGGTCTCACAGTGCGCGTGGACGCACAGAATGACCACACGAACCAATCACGGAACTCTATTCAACGCTGTGCGATCGATTTGCTGCTTCACTTAAGCAAGCATCGTTTGTGAATGGGCGTAAGATTGGTTCGTGTGTCAGCCTGTGCGTCCACGCGCACTTTGAGACCTCATAGTAATGTTTGTGAATACGGGCGTACGATAACTTAGAATAACGAGACACATTTTTTTTAAATTAGAACAATAAACAGAAAGTGTTCTAACTTAGAACCTTAAACCTCAATTATTCTAATTTATATCAACAGTTGAAAAATCGGGTCTGAAAATTATAAACCTAAAAAACTCTCAAATTCAAATTATTTATTGCATGTCACATGGGTAAGGGTTGAAAAGAACATAATAACTCTCAAGGTCAATGTGCCCCCAAAATATTTTTAAATCTACCAATAATTTATCCTTAACATCGTGAACACATTTACTGTGAATTCCTACACTTTACTTCCGTAATTTGTACATTTTTTCAATAACCGCCATCTTGGATTTTTATTTTAAACAAATTTCAAAGCAAAGTGATGATTGTTAGGATAAATTTCTCATATTTTTAATATTTTTATAATATTTCTTGGATTTAATTTGTTTTTAAATAGTAATTTAATAAGATTTTTTAATTTAATTTGGAGTTGTCACCGAAATATGATCACTAAGATCGTAAAAAAATCATAAAAAATGTAAATACTAATCAAATCTACACACCAACACATTTATATCGAGAAATGATTATTTAAACGCATTTTCAAAATTAATAAATCTATTTATTAAACATGATTTTTAAATAAAATAATATATTTCCTATTATATTAGTTGTTTGTTTCATAAATAATATAATATCACCTCTATTGTAAAAGCCACGATTGGTTTGAATTAACTATTATATTACATATTTTATTTTTTGTGAATGTATAACATACTTATTTCAACAAAACGAAATTGATCTAGCAACAATACATAATATACAGGCATATTACATACTAAATAGTTGTCCGCGCTATGTATGTAGTAAATAAATTATTATTTGTTTTGATATATTAAGAAAGACAAAACATGGCAAATAAGAGATTGGTTGTTATTTTTTAAAATTATGTTAAAACAAACGAACATTTTATTTTATTTGCATTAAATGTTTGATTTCAAATCGATAATCTGCATTTTTTTAATTATATTTCGTAAAGCCGGCATCTAGAACAATGGTAATTTTGGTATTTTAACCACCATGAAATATTATTTTCATGTATTTGATTTGATGAAATATATTTCTTTGTATTGTCGAAGTGAAAGGTTAGTTATTATTTGATTTCAAACTTTTGAAGTATGTATTTATTTATTTGTTATGTATTTTATTTGTCGAGCATCCGGCCACTGACATAAAACTGATATTTGAAGTCTATTATTGACGCTCATAAAATATGCGCGGACGTAAATAGTCACCGGACAGTGTCCGAAACTTGAAATTGTCAGTCAAGTGTCCGAAACACCAAGACTGGAAAATAGTGACTGTAAATTATGGTTTTTGGCTAAACTTTGGCTGATTACTGTAGATTTTCAGAATTTTTAACATGAATCACACAAAACATTTTTTTTTATGAATTCAATGGGAATAACCGAATTTAAAATTAAGTACACTGACACATTGAACTGTTTGATAACTACGCAATGTTATTTGACACAGCGTCCGACGTCCGGACAGCGTCCGAATTTCACTATTCACTAACTGCCCGTTTGAACGTCCAGCATCCGGATGACATTTTAAGCTAAGGGTTTTAAGCGATCAAGTGTCCGTAAACCGGACAGTATCCGAACTTCACTGTCACCGCTGCCCGTTTGAAACGTCTAGCGTCCGAAACTCCGAACGGTACAGTAGTGTCCAGGTGTTATTATCAAGTGTCCGTAATCCAGAGGGTTTCCGAGCATCACTGTCCGTTCTAATGACCAGCATCCGAACAGTACAGCAGTGTCCCACTGTTGCAATCAAGTGTCCGGATCCGGACACTTCCCGGACAGTGTCCGAAACTGTCCGTTCAAGCAGGCAGTTTTATTAACGCGTCCGGCCAGCGTCCGAAGTGTCCGGGCTAGCGTCCGAAGCACGGACACAGCCGCCCCCCCGCCCCAAGCGCGCGCGCCAGTACCGTTCGCTACGCGCTGTTCCGCGCCAGCTCGTAGAATAGCACGTACGCCTCGGACGACACCACGTTGCGCTGGTTGATCGGTGTTACTCTGGAAAGGAAAAAGAATAATAATAATAAGAAATAAATAAAATGACGACCTCAAAAAATATTATATTCTGATATTAGTCTGGTCTCCGAGCACGTCGGTACCGTACCCATCCTTATCGCTCGCGCGTTATTATGTTGCTATCACGCTCGCACACTCACTGCGACAGAAACATAATTACGCGCGAGCGATAAGGATGGGTAGCTTGGGGTCATTGGACAAAATTCTACGTGCTCAGAGACGAGGCTTTAGCCAGTCTATTGAAAATAAATAGTAGTAGTAGTAAACTGCACCCAGGAGGATTTAATGAATGCTACTGACAACGCCAATCTTGTGGCGGAGTTTTGGGATGACACTGTGTAGGTTTGTTGTCGACACGATAAGAAGAAGCCACCACTCGCAAGAAAACAATAAAGGCTCTTAAATTTAGTGTTGCAAATGGACGACAAACGTCCGGCTCAAAAAGTCAAAGATTTCGTAAGAGGCAAGCGAGCATCAGGCCTCCCCAACCCGTCTGGCCAGCGTAGGGAGTGTAGGACAAATCCTCCATTTGCCTCTGCGGATCTGTCATCATCATTTCAGCCATAGGACGTCCACTACTGAATATAGGCCTCCTCCAATGCTTTCCATGTTGATCGATTGGTAGCGGCCTGCGTCCAGCGCTTCCGTGCTACCTTTATGATGTCGTCAGTCCACCTTGTGGGTGGACGTCCCACGCTGCGTTTTCCGGTAGGCGACCTCCATTCCAGAACCTTGCTGCCCCATCGGCCGTCAGTTCTGCGTACTATGTGCCCTGCCCTGCCACTTCAGCTTGCTAATCCGTCGGGCTATGTCAGTTCGTTTATGGATCTCCTCATTTCTGATTCGATCTCGTAAAGAAACACCGAGCATAGCCCTCTCAACGATAAACTTTTATCGTTTTATCGATTTTAGGCGATAAGCCCATGCATTTGTCGCCTAAATATCGACTAAATTTTATAACGGCACGCTTCCTAGTCCTAGGTCATCTTCCTATGGTGGAGACTCAATGATGATGATGATGATGATGATAATATCCTTACCTGGAGTCGTTATACTCGTGCCAGTCGCCGGTGTACGGATGCTTGCAGTACGCTGTGTAGTGGCCGGAGTATGTCGTGCCTGCAACCAAATAGCTAGTCAGTATGGCGTCTTATGTCGTTGGGGTAGGTATCATTTTGCAATGACAAAAATGTAGTTTCAGTAGACAAATTGACAGTAAAGTATGTTGCACCTTGTTATAGGCAAGTGGGTACAAAGTTGGGTGGGTGGGTACAAAGTTGGTGGGTGGGTACACAAGTTCACACATGGAGGTTAAGTAGAGGTATCTATTTGGAGTGACATTTTATTAACCATAGTTATATTATAGACCTTCATCGGATCGCTCCAGACATAACGATGTTCGCAGACGCGTCTTGTTATTACGTCACTAAGAAAAGCGCCTTACAACACAAGCGGGTGGGTGGGTACACAAGTTAGGTGCGTGGGTACACAGTTGGGTGCGCTGTACCTGAGTGGTTGCTGACGGCGTAGAGGTTGTACACATTGTACCTGAGTGGTTGGGTACACAAGTTGGGTGCGTGGGTACAAAGGTTGGGTGGGTACACAGTAGGGTACGCTGTACCTGAGTGGTTGCTGACGGCGTAGAGGTTGTAGACGGGCTGCGCGCGCACGGCGGCGTAGGGCGCCATGTCCAGCCCCGTCAGCGGGAACTCCACGAGCACGTTCAGTTTGCCGCGGAAGCGCTCGGTTGGGGAGAACCTTGAGATAAGATACAGTCATTGCTTATCCAGTCAGCGCCAAATACTCAAATAGTTTGTGACATCCAAAAAGCCAAAAAGTTAGAGCGTGGTTTAGACTACAAATTTTGTAGAAAACTACCGCAAGCTGTTTACTACTATGTATGTAAATAGCTGTGGCAAAGTCAACTTCTGCAAGTTTTATTTCTATTCTAAACCTCGCTTTACAATTGGAATAAGGTTGGGTTGTCAACTTTTTGGTCACTTTGGAACGAACTATATGTACATCTTAGGGCAGATTCTAACATGAAGAATCTATCAATTAATTCAACCCAAGAATTTTGGGGCTTTCGATTCGATGATAGTTAAGAGCTATGATACTTATCCCCATCCCGTATCCATCCATCGTATGGCCATATCATGGCCCACCCTGAAAATCCTACTAATATTATGAACTGGCTTTTGCCCGCGGCTTCACCCGCGCGAAATTTAATTTGTCACAGATCGTCGTAAATTACAGCCTATATGTTATTCTGGGTTATAAAAATTAATACTGTAAAGTTTCATCAAAATCCATTCAGTAGTTTTTGCGTGAAAGAGTAACAAACATCCAGACATCCACACAAACTTTCGCATTTATAATATCAGTAGGAAGTAGGATGCGAGTTTGTATGGATGTTTGTTACTCTTTCACGTAAAAAGTACTTAACGGATTTTGATGAAACTTTACAGTATAATTGTTTATAACCCAAAATAACATATAGGGCTCTGTGACGAACTAAAATTCACGTGGGTGAAGCCGCGGGCAGAAGCTAGTAACCCATAGATACGCCAATGATTGTCAGTTTTTTGTATGTATTATATTGTGAGTGTCCAGCTAAGTCTACAATAACGCTATGAGTGAACCTCACCGTTTCAGATGCAGCACGAGAACTTGCGGAAACTTGTGCACGGTGAACCACTTCAGACACTTGCGACGCACGCCGCACTTCGAGCACGTCTGTGGACAACGCACAACAGGTAGAACCTTTCTTAGAAGTCGAGAGAAAATATCGTATGCAATCGAGTAAACTAAAAATATTGGGCACGTAATCAGTCTCACAAATGTGATTAGCTGTGAACTGTGATAAGTACAACAAATATCATGAATTTCGTATGACGCAAATTATTGATGGCCCTCACATAGCGGGGCACAAAGTATGCAGAACTGACGGCCGATGGGGCAGCAAGGTTCTGGAGTGGAGGTCGCGTACCGGAAAACGCAGCGTGGGACGTCCACCCACAGATATATCGCACATTTATCAACCTGGAAAGGGATCGTAACCGTATCAACTCGAGACGGTCAGTATTCTTTGTATGAAACTCCATACTGCAACGCCTCGCCTCGCGGTTAGCTCGCGAAAGGCAATACGGTGTTGATTCCTTTCCGAGTTGTTAAGTCTGCTATGAGCTTAAGGTTAGCAGGGAGGCGCTGGCCGGGCAACATGGAAATCATTGAAAAGGCCCGAAGGAAGTTCTGCAGTGGACGTATTATGGCTGAGATGATGATGATGATGATCGGAGGGGATGCGTCGGTAGGCAGTATACCAAACTGAATTTGAGCCACATTTCGGCATGCTTGAGGATGCCGCCGGATGTCTAGTCATGCTAAAGGATGTCCTGCCGCGCCATCCCGATAATGTCGCTCAGTCCCTAATATGGTATATTTTTTTATTCACAACGAGGAAACTCTTGGCCTGTATCTCACCTGATGGTAAGTGACGATCAGGCCGAAGGTGGAAGCGAGCTTCACCCGGAAACCTCAACCACGGAGGAACTGGCTATCTTACCTCTAACTGCCGGAACACTACAATGCTGTCAAAGTCAAAGTCAAAATTTCTTTATTTGTTTGGACTAATAAATAGTTCTTACAAATCGTCATTTTGCTCTTAAGGAGCCTCTACATGTCTCATAATCTTTTTACCCTACCTGTTGTTATGGCAACAGATTTAGCTAAGATGGTGGTGGACTTAGAACAAGCCTTACCACCAACCAAACCGAACAGAAAAATCTGCCCCCACTGGGAATCGAATCCCAGACCTCTGCATCTGGAAAATTATTGAACTCTACTTGTACAGAAGAGGATGACAGCAAGCAATTTATACACCAAACACAGAAACTATCTGACATACTAGAGAAGCAAAACCCATATTGCTCCTCTGTCCACACTACATCATCTAAAGAAGCGGAAAAGACACGCAATATATACATTATAGGCGACGAGCAGCTAAGGGGACTTTCCTCTGTCCTAAAGAAAACAAGATCAGGTCAGTGGAATGACATATACAACACTTCAGCAATGATACTCACAGGCGCATCAAGCTCTCAGGTACTGCCATACTGTGAAAATCTAGCAAAGAATTTGACCAAGGATGACATTGTGATTTTAAGCTTGGGCTCTCATGACAATGACTTGCATTTGCTACATTCAAACCTCTGTACAGCAATATACTTGTTAAACAAATCATTTATTTATATTGTCCCTATATTGAGTAACTTACACTTTAATGAGTATAAAATGTATAAATCTATGGAAATGTGGATAAAACATTTTCCCAGGTGTAACCTAATTGAATATTGTGATCTTTTGACATGTAAAGCTTCTTTGATTTTAAACAAAATGTGTAATAAAATAAGTATAGACATTGACTATAACGAGTATAAAGCTCAGTTTTTGACATATAAAAATGTGATAAAAATGATAAATGATAAAAATAATGTTAATAAAATTAGTAAAAATCTGTGTAATACAATAAGCTCCCCTAAAAAGGGTACAATACCATTTTATTTTAAAACTAAGTGTAAAGTGATTACCAACATTAAAGATGTAAATAATACGCAGAATGCGAGTGCAAATGTAAATCAGCCATTGCTTAACAATACAGACAAGACATTTTTTCGTCCCGAATAATACAGATGTACTATTTACAATCCTCCATCAAAATATACATGGATTAATATCTAAAAGAGAAATTATCGAGATCACTTTATCTGAAATTAATTTTGATAGTCCGGATGTCCTTTGTTTCACAGAAACATTTGTGAAAAATGGGGATGAAAAACATTTATTTCTAAAAAACTATACGCTGGCGGCTTACTATTCTAGAGAAACTAAAAGGGGGGGAGTTTGTATTCTGGTGAAGAATGGACTGATATACCATAAAGTAAAACTAGGCAACGATAATCTAGCCGTTGATCACAACTTCGAATACTGCTCTGTCAATATAAAAAATATAAACACAATTATAGTCTGCATATACAGAATTCCCACCTCAACTAGATTTAATATTGACCAGTTCTTTTCTAGGTTCGAACTTCTTTTACATAGCTTTATTACTAAATATCCCAAGAAAAAAATTGTTATCACGGGTGATTTAAACATTAACACACTCGAAAATAGTTGCAAAAAGGAACGGTTATCTGAGTTACTGAACATTTATCGTTTAAAATCACATATTACTGTGCCCACGAGAGGTAAATCTTGTATTGATTTAATCTTCAGTAATATCGAAAATGCCACTGGGTCTATTCTAACGTTGTGGCTTTCCGACCACAATACTGCACAGTTATTGACCTTTCCAGTAATAAATAAAGGCATGATACCGACGAAAACGTATTTATACAAGCGTTGTTACTGTGACGAATATGTTGAAAAATTTAGAAATTATTTGAGCAAGTTATCATTTTCTAATATACTTTGTAATAAAGACTTAAACTTGGCCTTCAGGGACTTTCATGATATTTTCAGCACACTTTACAAATCATGCTTTCCTATACGCAAAGTCACCATTAACCAATCATCCAAACAAGCTAGGTGGATTACGAAAGGTCTAAAAAAGAGCTGCAAAACTAAAAGAGTGTATAGGTACAAATATTATACTAGCAAATCTAAAAGCGATAAAATCAAATACCTAAAATATAATAAACTTTTAAAAGCATGCATAACTAAGGCTAAAATAAACTCAAATAATAAGATTGTATTGGGTAGTAAAAACAAATGTAGAGCCACCTGGAATGTCATAAAAAGTGAAACTACGGCAAACATTTCACGGGAACATATACGTGAAATTTTACACAATAACCATGTAGAGACTGATCCTACTGCTATTGCCACTGTGTTCAATGAACACTTCACCAGTAGGACCAATACTGCTGACTCCAGAATAGAACTGCCCAGTAGTCAAAAACAAAATAGCACAATATTTTTGACTCCAGTGGATGCCCAAATAGTGGAAAAAATAATTTCATCTTTAAATAGCACCCTTTCGGAAGGTTATGACGGTATTTCCACAAAGGTTATAAAAGCTTGCAAAAAAGAACTAAGTACTACTCTAGCCTACCTAATTAACCTGTCATTTGAAACTGGTACATTTCCGGAAGAATTGAAACTCTCAATTTCTAAACCACTATTTAAAAAAGGAGATAGAGTAACTGTGACAAACTATCGTCCATTAGTATTGATACCAGTAATATCAAAAATTTTTGAAAAAGCCATGCATTTTAAACTAATGTCATTTTTTAATAAATATCATATTATAAAAAAATCTCAGTACGGTTTCCAAAAGGGAAAATCAACGTCACAAGCAATGTTTGACATGGTAAACGAAATTTTGCAAAACACCAACCAACGTAAGCATACATCGGTGTTATTATTGGATATGACCAGTGCATTCGATTTGGTACCTCACGACCGCCTATTAACAAAACTTGACTACTATGGAATTCGGGGACCAACCTTAAAATGGTTGCAATCATACCTGAATAATCGACGTCAATTTGTAGAAATAACATACCTAGATAAATGTAATGTAACGCAAATATGTAAATCACAGGTAAAGTGTAACCCACTTGGTGTACCTCAAGGCAGCGTGCTGGGGCCGCTCCTATTTCTTCTTTACATAAATGACCTACCAGATATCTTGACACATAAAACCATTCTGTTTGCTGACGACGTATCGGTCATAATCACTACAGAAAAAACCTTATCTCTGGACGAACATAATCTTGACATAATTAATACACTGACATTACTTAATTCATGGCTTAATGATAATAATTTAATGATAAACTTGACTAAAACAAATCTAATTAATTTTAATAATTTAAAACAGAATCATGACAATATAAATTTTAATAATCAATTAATATGCTATAAAAAACAGGCTTCATTCTTAGGAATTACACTAGACTCCAAATTAAATTGGCAGACACATACAGATAAAATACGCAACAAATTGAATGGTTTCTCATACGCGTTGTACAAATTATCTAAAGTAACTAGTAAAGAAACAGCCACCGTTGCGTACTATGCATACGTAGAGTCGTCACTTAGGTACGGTATCATAATGTGGGGAAACAGCCCTGGAGCAAAGCAAGTATTTATTGCTCAAAAACGCTGTGTTAGAGCTTTATGTGGGATTGCCCCTGACGTATCATGCAGACCACACTTCTTGACTATGGGAATATTAACACTAGCCTCCATCTATATTTTGGAGATAGCAAAATTCGTAAAGTCAAATCACGAACTATTTACTGAAGCAAAGGACTATTATAGGACTAATACAAGAAATCCACATAGACTCATATTAGACATAACACCTAGAACTGCATGTTTTCAAAGAAATTGTTACGCAATGTGCATTAAGATTTTTAATAAAATACCTGCTTGCATGAAAGAGCTTCCTTACACTAGTTTTAAGTCGACATTACGAAAATGGCTCATACAAAATGTCTTCTATACAATTGACGAATTCCTAAATAATCAATCTCTAATGTAATGTAATTTAATAGTGTGACATTTTATTAATTTTGTAATGAATATTTGTATGCTAAAATTTAGCATTATGGGGGCTTATTCGCAAGAACAAGGGGCACGCTTTCATCAAAATATAGTGAGATTTGAGAGACGACGTTACCAAGGCCAGTATACTGAAAGCATGATAGGGTTAGATTTTTATGCAA